TTTTGGGTGCAATTGTAAATAGGATCGACTCCTTGATTTGTCTCTCTTCTGTCTTCTTGTTGGAAGACAAGACAAGATTTTTGACAAGCAATGTAGCTTTAGTTGTTATAGTTACCACTGGATGGGCAGGGGGCAAGGGGATGGGGAAGGGTGTGAGTAGTGGCCCAGGGTCCTGGGAGTGCCAGGTCCCGAAGGTGCAGCCCTGAACAGGCTGCTTCCGGATGTGTGGGTCCAGGCTGGGAGCTGGGAGTCTGGTCGTCATTTTTAGGGGACCCCAGGAGTAGCCCTTTACCAGGCAGGTGGGCTCTGGAAGCCCCTTCCTCAGGCCTTGCAGTGGGGGTTACGCTCTAGTCCAGGGATTGCAGCCCCAGGGTCAGGGGCCCGGCCTCGGTGGTGTCCATCTGTTTGAGGTGCAGTTCGGTGATCACAGCCTCGGGACTGGGTCCAGCCCAGCCAACTGGGCAGCTCAGCACCCAGCTCCTTCCTGAGCTGCTGGGGGGTTGGGGCAGGGAGGGCCTCAAGATGTCAGGTCACCACGCAACAGCTCCGGGTAACCCTCCTCCAGAAGTTGCGACTGCGGCTGCTGAGGGCCACCTGCGCTGCTTCCTGGAAGACCGCGTGGACGTTTTCTTGGAGCAGGGCTGAGCACTCGAGGTAGGCCACTGCGCCCACGGACCTTGCCATCTCCTGGCCCCTGTGGTAGGTCACAGGCTCCAACCTATTTTTCCGCAGCTTCTTCACCAGCGACTTGTCCTTGCGCAGGTCAGTCTTGCAGCCCACGACAACGATGGGCACCTCCTTGCAGAAGTGGTTCACCTCTGAGTACCACCGGTTAGAGATGTTGTCAAAGCTGTGCGGGCTGGTGACATCGAAGCAGAGGAGAAGGACGCTGGCGTCGGGGTAGAAGAGGGGCCGCAGGCGGTCATAGTCAACTTGCCCTGCTGTGTCCCAGATTTGGAGGTTCAGGTATAAGAATGCCACTGATTTCTGTGCATTGATTTTATATCCTGCGACTTGACTGAATTCCTGTATGAGTTCTAGCAGTTTCGGGGTGGAGTCTTTTG